GCTGCATTTTCTTTGCCATTTCGAAGCGAACCGTTGCACAAATTGCCTTGACAGTTGCATTGTTGCACTGCTCGCATAACTTGCAACAGAATCTGAATTGTTTTGATAGACAGAGGCACTATCTATTCCATTCCCCCTCCTCACTCTCTCGCTCACTCTCTCTCTCTCTCCTTCTTCCTCTCTTTGCTTCTACTCAGCTCAATTTGATTCATTCAGTGCATTTGCAAACTTATGAATAAAACATTTGCACAAACGTTTGTGTGCGAGGCCGTTTTAACCCATTTTTCCATTCATCTTGCATTTTCCTGCAAATTTTCCTACGTACATATACATATATAGCAATATAGACATAAATCTGTCTGGCCAGACGACTTTGACTATAAATAAATATATATAACACTTGCCACAGCTGAGGCTGAGCGAAGAGATGCTCTTCGATAAATTTATGTGGGACCTGTCTGATTTTCCACACTTATCCACTCACCTCCCACTTTGCCCCACTCTCTCCTTCTCTCTCATTCTCTCCCTTTCGCCTGCTGCAAGAAGCCGTGCAGCCAAAAATGTGCAAAAATCAACAGTCACATTTTATTTCGCTTCGCTTCTAGAACCTGCCTTGGGGGCACAATTGCCACGCCCACAAAACGCCTGACGATTGACGAGCTGAAGTGGAAAACAACATAACTCACCGCTCCCAGCTATATATATGTATATACACATCAGATATATATAGAGAGAGCCAGCCATAATGATGCAGGGATTTCGATGTGCGCTCTTAACGAACTGCGAGGCATTTTTTTCTTCTTCTTCTTCTATTTTTTTTCACTTTAGCATTCCAAAGTGAATTTCCGTGCAAAATAAGAAAAATGGAGAGCAGCATGCACAAGTGTGAATAGATCCGAGTAAAAATATTGATATAGGTATTCGGTTTTTGAAAACTTGCCGAAAGATTTTCTTGCATAATTGAGCTAGGAGATAAATTTAGATTTATTGCTCTGTCTTAAGTGTAATTAGGCAGATAAAGAAATTGCTTTTCGCTGGAAAAAAATTTTCTCTAATTCTCGTGTTTATTTAAGTATATCCAGCCATTTACCTACATAAAATATAAGTTTTCGATTCCAAACTCTCTTTTGATTTTTCCCTTCCATTCTCTTTCGTATTCTTTCTCATTTATCTCCCACAGTTATTCTTTCTCTCCCTCTTTTATCTATTTATTTACCCAATCATCCTATCCTATCAATAATCCTATCCTCAATAAAAAAAAATATATGTATATGAGTGAAAATAATATTTCCACATTTTTTTATTTCACAGACGGATCTAAGAATTCAATATAAAAATGTTCCCAAAATACAACACAAAATTTGCAAAAATCATAAATATGAAAATAATAAAATTTTGCTTCCCAGATTTTCCGTTTTTCCTCTAATTTATAGCTAATAGATTTAAAGGCTTAATCCGCCAAAATTGTTTATGAGCTTTAAACATCTTTAATTTTAGGAATTATGAAACGAAATTCTGGAGAGTTATAAAAGGTTTACCATGCAGCCGTGCAGTGCTTCGAGAGAACTCACATAAACATTTCACAATTAGCTCTTGACCTTTCGTTGTCTGAATCGGCTCATTATATGGCCCATAGAGCTTTTTGGCTGTTTCCTCCTGCTGTTTTCTTGGCCATGAAAATAGTGTAATAAACACGAAAGTGCCCCGGCAACTAACTTTTCCAAGACCAAACAAATTCTTCAATAATTGAGGTCGATTTAATGTTTATAAACACGATTAGCTTGGGGAACTGGAGACTGTTTTGGGCAAATTTATTTCTGATTAGACTAAGCCATTAGCCAATTGAATGCTGTTGTGTTTGTTGTTTATTTGGCATTTGGAGCTGTTAACGCCTTTCGTTAATTATTAACACGGCTGGCTAGCAAGGCAAAGGTCAAATATCGATTCAATATAATATCTAAATTAAGCGAGAAAAACTAAAGGAATAACAAAATTTGTGTAATTACTTTGTTGGAATTCTGTGAAGCTCTACACTTCTCTCTCTTTCTCCCTATCTCTATATATATACGTGTGGATCTCAACTTGAGACTCTCAAGTTGGCAGAAAGATATTGTTATACATACATGGATCTCCCGATTTCTCTATTTATATTCTTGATCCATTAAATTCCAGCCAAATGAATGTTTTTATAGTTCTCTCTCTCTCTCTCTCTTTCTTTCTCTCTGCTTTTTCTCTCTCTCTCTGTGTATATGTTTCCATATTTCTTACGCTATGCAATAACATCTCTCTCTCTCTCTTTCTCATTCTCTCTATCTGCATATGTTTCCCTATTTCATTCATTCACTTTATTTCTCTTTCTCTCTCTCTCTCTCTCTCTCTCTCTCTCTCGCTCACTCTCAGCAAATATTTGTAGCTATATAACTCTTACTCTTCTCTAAAAATATATATATGTACATATATATTTATACCACCTTGTCTCTACTTTTACTGTCTCTAGTGATCTCCCCCTCTCTGTCACTATTTCTCTATTAATATATATACATACAATTATATATTATATCATGTTATATTATATAGATATTATATTAACAATAGCAATATACAGCACAATTACGTATGGCCTTTGGATTACCTATCATTCTCCCTCCCTCCCACTCTTTTTCTCTTTCTCTTTCTCTTTCTCTCTCTCTCTCTCTCTCTCTCTCTCTCTGTCTACTTGTAATGCGATATGCCACTGGCAGCTTGCTGCCTCATTACGAAATGTCGCCAAGATTTGCGGCTTTAATAGACGCCGTTAAAAACGTAATGGGGAAAAGCAGCAGCAACTACAGCAGAAGCAGCAGCAGCAGCCGCGACAATAACAACAACAACAACAACAACAACACTTGCATTTTATTATTTGTATTTTTCTTTATGATTGTCACTCGATACTCGAGTCTTTGTCTTTGGTTTTGTTTTTGTTTTTGCTGCTGGCCTCTTGGCCACACTTGAATGGCGCATAATTTGAATTTTTCTAACAGCAGCTGCTCGCTCAGTCGCTCGTTCGCAGCTTTCCCCAAACACCAATGAAAATCCCCTCGCCCCCGCCTCCTGCTCCACCACCACTGCGATCCAATACTCTAGGTGTAGGAGTTGTTTTTTTTTCTTTTAGTTTTGCCTAAGAGTTCATTGCATTTGCCATTTGATTTTCACTTTCAATTGGCAAAACCGCAAATGTTGTTGCAACATTGCAACGCGTTGCAACAGCTGCTGTCACAACAAGCCGCAAGCCACAAGCGGCAAGCGACCAAGTTCAAATGCGTAGACAGCTGGCGCCATCTACCGTTGAGCTCGGAGATAATCGGTCTGTGCGTTCAGCTTAAAGATTGTCATATCAAAATGTCTTTATTTTTGCGTGTTTTAGACCATGACCAAAAAAAAAGTATACAAGTATTACGACATACGTCTATGGACAATTTGTACATATATCTTCTAATATATCTATATATATGTATTTAAGCTGTATTTGTTTCTTCTTCGCTTTTCTTGACATTTAGGCTAATTGACGTAATTTGTTTCGGGCCTAAATGTTAAACTTTTCTGACATTAGCCATTTGTCTGTAGAACAAGTGGAACACGCGACACATAATAATACCCATTTATAAGGTCGAAAGAATAAAACATAAATCATATAATTACGAATCACGAATACTTTCAACATGCTAACCAAATATAAACAGTCCAATTATGCCTGATGATAATGTGTTTTTAAATAATAAGAGATATTCAATTTAATGTAAAATAATTACGATGCTTGAGCTAAGTTTTTGGGTGGTCTAAGAAACAGATGAGAGAGTTTATACAAATATTCTTTTTCTTTCTTTTCATTATACACACTTCTTTGATTATATTTTTAGCTTAACATTAAATTTGGTAAAAAGAGTAAATGGTAAATCTTCTTTTCATAAGTTTCTTCATATTTCATTTTTCATACTTAGTTTAAAATTAGTCTTGGTCTAACCTTTTTTCACTCTATCTAATCTAATGTTTTGCTAAGACAAAAGACTAGATAAACCTAATTCTCGAGCTAAAACATAAAATCTGCTGCCTGTTAATCATTTGCGAATACAACGTAAAGCAGAATAGTATAATATGGCAAATAAAAATCTCTCTCAAGTGCCTAAGCACCCGCTGAGTATTTTCTCCATTCATAGCCCCCTGTCCCCAATCAAATATGCTTTATTGCTGCTGTCAACTTCCTATGGAGCCCATCTCGCAGCCAAGCTCCCACACACGCACGCACCACAACTATCATCCATTAAATGTTCGCACATAAATAATGTTGACCTTAAAAAACAAAGTAAAATAAAAAGAGCGAAAGAAAAACAAATAAAGGTTGTCATATCACGGCCAGCGTGACGAAACTGGGCAAGAGATGCTCAATGCACGGACGTGCGTCCTGCCGTACGAAGCGAAAGACGCGTCCGATAGGCTGTCAAGGCTGTAAGGCGGACAGCGGGACAAAGCAACAAGGTGACATAAATATCAACTTGCTCCAAAAAAGGAAACCCAACTTTTTTCTCGCCAAGGAAACAGCAGACAAACCAAAGAAAAACCAGGAGCAGTGTGAACTTACAGCTACCCTGTATTATATATACTCTAATATACATATATAAAGCAACAAAAATCACAAATACTAATATAAATATAAAAATAAACTATATCATATTTATAAATATATGTATAAAAGYTTATGCATTACATTCCGCACTTTACAGGCCCAATCAGACAGATATTCATATAACACTTAACATTTTATGTAAACTCTTATGCACATACGCTTCACTCTAATAAACGCACATTTAATGGGTAAAAGAGCAAGCAGCATGTGCAGAAAAAACAACAAGAGCAATGGTACACACATATACACACATGCATATGAGAGTCAACAGCAGAGAGCGCGAGCGCGGGGTTGGTGAAAAAGAGAGCGGAGTGGACAATAAGATTCAATGAAAGCTTACCTGCAAAGACCAACTGAGGGCAAGATTCAGATTCCGCTTGAATTGTTGTTGCTGCAGTTGATGTTTATTTTGTTGTTGTTGTTGCTGCTGTTGTTGTTGCTGCTGCTGCTGCTGTTTTTGCGTTGGCAGCTGATTAGCCGGCGCTGCTGTGAAATGTGTCAAGATGCTGCTGCTGCTAGTCGTGTGRCGTCGTGCAGGCAGCGCTGGCGGCGGCGTCGAGCAGAGCAACTCCTGTTGCGGCTCCTGCTCCAGTTGCTGCTGTTGTTGATGTTGCTGTTTGGCCTCAATTTGCGGCGAGTTCTTAGGCAATGCCAATGCGCTGCTATTGTTGTTGTTATTATTGCTGTTATTCAGCGAAAGCGAACGCGCAAAAGAACTTTTGAAATAGCGACACGGCATCTGGAAATCAAAGTCAGGCGGCGACGCAGACGGCGCATCCGTAGCAGCGCCGGCTGCTGGAAAAGTTTGCATTGTATTTTGCATGTTTTTGCACGAACCGGAATTTCAATTTGTTTTTCTTTTAGAAATTTATTGATTGTATTATTTTTTGCGTTCGATTTGTGCTGCCTTAATTTGGCATATTTGTTGCTTTTGTTGTTTTTCTAATTTGCTTTGATTTCTTGTTTAGTGCATTTTTTCACGCACCCTGACAGCACACACATATACAAACACAGTCACACACACGGAAGCTCATGTATTGGTTTTTGACAGCTGGTATTTCTTGCCAATTTCACACGCATTCAATCTCGATTTCAATTATTTATTTGGCTGCCACTTTTTAATCAAAATCAATTTCCATTAAAAATATTTTAAAGCGCGCGCACGACAACAAAATTTCACGCGAACGCGCAAAAAATCAAAAATCACATCAACTGCGATCGACCACCAGTGAACGAATGAGCAGCGAAGTAAACAAGCAGAGAGCAAGAGCAAAGCTGCGCGTAAAAGAGCGGAGCAACGCTGCGCAACAAGCTATTCAAACTGTATGTTAAATTAGCATAGATGGTGGTGGTGAATCGCCGCTCTACTGTTTCGAGTGTAGTGAAACTATATATCGGGTTGAATTGCTCTTGTTTAGCATTACTAGACCGAACCAGAGTTTCCTTTATATATAGTCAGGTAGACAGAAGTGCAGAGTCTACATTTTTAAAGAGCACAAAAGGTTTACAGTGAGCGGTATTTTTGAATCCATCAGTGTTATTACTCACTAGGCACTGTTAAGCAATTCTTGATTGCTCAAACGCTCTGTTGCCGTTAACAGAAATGACTTTATAAGTATGCTATTAAAATTGCAGCCGTAAATATGTTTACCAGATATGTTAAAACTAACGGAGCGGTATTTATAAGTATGCTATAGAAATAGTAGCTGTTAAATGTTAAAACTTTTCTGGACCTAAAAGTATGCAAAAAGAATCCGAAAATTAGAGCATTTAAATTTTGAATAATTTTATAATATCCACTGCAACGTAAATTTCCTTCTAAAATGTATTTAAAGTTCATTGAGCTTAGTTGTAGCTTCTTCTTTGCAGCATTGCAGCTGTTAAAAATGTCATCTCTATCCGCATAGAAATAGGAAATAAAGAAGAGAAGTATATAAGTAAAGCACCATCAAATTATTCAGTCTCTAACTGTCAAGTGGGGAATTTAATTGGTATGGGCATTGGTAGTGCTTTATCATATATTCCAAAAGTAATCCCCGTGTCCCGGTTGTCGGTGCACAAACATAATCCCACACACAAATCCTGTGGACTTAATGCCACATCTAGATAGGCGGACAGCTTGCCAATCAAATTGATTGTGCGGCATTGAGTAATTGGTATTTATTTTTAAATGACGAAACAAAGAAACTAACTGAGTTCCAATTGGAAACTATTACTCTACAACTGGTAGTAAACAAGAAAAAGCGAGAAATGGCATTTTTGCTATTCCTCAAATCCTGCTGCAATTTGAGCTGATGCTAAAAACTCATTAGTCGATGGGCCATAACCAAAAATAGCCAGATCGACCGTCAAGATTAGTCATATATGTATAAATATATACATATATATACACACAAATCCCATCAAAAATCTCATTTGCGTTGCTATTTTTGTGTCCCACTGTGGCCCCGTGCGCATGCCTTGTCGTTTCTCAGTTACATAAGCCTTATATAATACAGCAATGGTGAGAGCGAGACGACAGCTGTGTGCCGTGCGCTGCCGAGCATTCTGGTCAGAGTTGATATTGGACCTGTATATCGGCAGCCACTCTCTCAATCTATCTCTATCTCTTTTTGTTTGTGTTTCGTTTCGTTAGAGTTACTGCTGCAGGCTCTATCTCCCCGGCAGTTGTTGGGGCAGCAAAAACAAATAAAAGCACTCTACCGATCTCCCCAAGGGCGACCACGTGACCAATCCACCCCGWCGGAGCAGCAGCAGCGCTGCTCTCTTGCGTGATCGTAGCGCTCATAATTTGTTATTCATTTTACAAGTGTTTCGGCTTTGATTTGTGTTACAAGTGCCTGTTGCTACGCAGTTATTGTTGCTCTTGGAGCGAAACAGTTTCGGTTTTATTTTTGCGCATTAATATTCATAATGTCTGCCGAGAGTAGCATTCGTAGTAGCAGCAGCCGCAGTCGCAGTAGTAGCGCGGAGAGAGAGCGTGAGAACATTATGGATTTATCAATAAGAGGTGAGTTCTGCCGCCTCCCACAACCAAACAAAACTCAACTCATTCAGCCTGCCGCTGCTTGCCAATTTATTTCATTCTTCCCCCCACACATAAAACACGTGCAGCGTGCTGCTGTACGTGTGTGTGTGTGTGTGTGTGCCCGCTTTGTTTACATACATGACTATTGCGTGAATAGATTTCAGTTTGTTTGTGTATGCGTGTGTCTACGAGAGCGGGCGTTCTCAGAGCTGTGTTTGTGTATGTGTCTGTCTGTCTGTGAGTTAAGCCTCCAATCGCCACACCATGTGACAAATTATTTGACTTTGCCTTCTTTTTTTCCAATTGATATCGCCTAGGCGAATTGAACAAATAACAGTGAATAAATAATGATATGGATGGGATATTAAAATAGAACAGTAGATAAAACGAGAGACAGGGGGCGACAGAAAGACACCAGTTGTCCATATTAATTGCAAAATAAAGAATAATTGTAACAGTACAGTAAACTTTCGTTGTGAGCTCAATAAATTTCAAGGCGAATTTGAAATAATCGCACAGTGACGAAAAACAATTCGCAAGTGTTAATCAGGTATTAATGTGACTGGATCGCCGAAACGTGTTTTTACTGTAGCTCGTAACGAGTTTAACTAGTTCAGGGAAAATGATTAAATACATATTTTTTACAATACAAATATTAATTAGCTTAGCCCAGATGCCGTTTATTTGGGCCCCATTGTAATACAAACGGCCACTCTGTAATGCCGTACTATAAAACTCAGATGGATACACCTGTTGATAGATATGCGGACGGTATTTATTGCCTTTGATATCAGACTAATTATGGAAAGACGCCCGAAAACTCGATAAACTTTATAAACTATTGGGCAGTAGTTATTAACCGTTGGACTTTTGATGAAATAGGCGACACTGTCGCCACAATTAAAGTCTGTAGAAAAAAAAAGAATTCTAAAAAAAAAAAAAAAATAAAAAATAAATATAAGGCAAGAGTCACGATTTGTTATCACGGCCTAGCGACGAGGTTACCACGCGACTATAAATATTTACCCTCATGATTATTTAGTATTTTTTTTTTTAATGAATTTTGAGCAATGGATGATGAAAAGTGGCGCTGTGCAATCGAAACGAGTCGAATAGACATCACATTTTAATTATATACCTGTGTGGACACACACACCTGTACAAAGCACGTCATTCATCATTCTGTAGTACAATCTCATGTATGTATAGGCTGTTTGGTCACGCCTCCTTATCAACTGATATCAGCTCAAAGTGCAAAAAGCATGCGCAGCTCATTTAGAAAGTCATCCAAGCCGATGCAAAAGCTCATAAACAAAATACAGAAAAAAGCTTGCTAGCTAAGTCACGCTCTTGCTCTGTCGCTCTCACACTGCTGTGCTTTCAGCGCTCTCTTCTGCTGCCTCTCAATTTTGCCAATCAGATCACATGGTCCGTCGTATTGGAATAACTGTGACGTGACCGAAGCGAGTCGTTCACTTGCTCTGATAACATCTAGCTAGACGGGCACTCATTCGTCTGTCCCACTTCAACATGAAAAAGTTATCATTTGTCGTTTGTTGTTATTTAAAATTTTTGTTTGTATTTTTTTCGGCTGCAAGCTGCTTGCAGCTGAACGTGGGTCAAAGATCAAGCTCGCGGCTTTTATTAGAATTTAATCGCAAGAAGCGTGCCATTAATTCGGCTTCATGTTGGGGTCTTCGTTTAATCTGCACCACAAATCGTGTCATTAAATTTTTGAAACCTTGGCACGCGTCTGGCCACATTTTGGAAAATTTTAGATTGAATTGAGCCAGGCGCTGGGGTCAGCTTGGACAGTGAATGGGAGCCTGGTGGCGTGATAAAAACACATGCACGCACACACATAGACACACACTCGCATTTCATTCAGCTGCTGGCGTCGTACAGTTGCCGTTGAGCAGCTAAAGCATAGATGACAGCTATGAAATGATATTTATTTGATTAATGGTCAACAAATAAGCATAATCTCAGTATTTTACCTAATCCCTCTGCGAAATTGGCTTCTTTCAATTGCTTAGTCAGTAATTTGCAAATTCAGCAGAAAAAGAGAATAAATAAACAGTTAGAGCTTAGCTGTACTTGAAATTTTTTGCCGATTCTCCAATTGAATAGGAGCTGAGGGGCAGCCCCAACAATTGTCCAGTTTCAGCTTGTTTCTAGCCGATATTACGTCAATGTGCAATAAGAAATGGCAACAATAACAAAACAAGAGAACAACAAAAAACTGCAGCGGCATCAAATGCTGTAATAAGCAGTCTATCTCGCTCGCATCCACTATATGTATGTATGCAAATTTGTCTGTAATAAAAGCAACCACAGAACTGCACAGAAAACAGAAACAAAACTGAGCTGAAATGCGAATGCGAATGTGAATGTAAATGCAAATGCGGGACTTGGGGAAGCTTTAATGGAAAAAGCGACGCGTCGCCCGGCGCCGTGTACAGCAACAACAACAGAATGAAAACATCAACAACGACAACGGCATAATTATTATTATTATTATTATTATGTCATACACATGTATTCTGTGGTCTGTATGCCATTGTATATGTTTGTGTGTAATTAGTGCAATGGTTACGCTACATGGGCTGCGTTTTGGGGCTGTTCAAGCACAGCTTTGATTTGATCAACACGTGCTGCGGCTGCTTTATGATCGTTCATTGCCACGCAGCAGGGGCACAAAACAGAATGGCAAAATAAGAGAGCGGCGAGTCAAAGAGAGCAAGACGCCAGACAGGCCCTTTACGAGTGAAACCCTACGCAAACATAAATACACACATCCAATCATACATGTTTGAATGTATTTATGATTGTATCTAGTTTAGCTCACTGAAATTATAATGAGCTATGAACGGTACATTTCGTCTAGCAGCCACGCATATAAATTGCTAGCAATCAATTTGCCAAATTAATAGACATACATATGTATGTACATGTAATACATACACACACATACAAAATAAATGCATGCATAAATATTGTATTTGCAATGCAATACATCTTTTATTTATTAAAGACGTCACGGCGTATGCATACATTTGTATTTACCCACAGATGCAAACCCACACATATGCATATGTTTGTATGGTTTAAGATTGTAAGTTCTTCTTTGCCATTACATTCGCATTCAATAAAGTAAACAGAAAAGAACTGAGCGCAGAGAGCCGGTGCTTGAGAGCGGCATCAAAACAGAAAGAGAGTGCGAATGAGAGGGCGGAGTACGAGCTGACGTACATATGTACATATGTACCGAAAACCTGCATACTTACAAACATATATACATACATACATAATTAGC